TGATGATGATGATGATGATGATGATGATGATGATGATGATGATGATGATGATGATGATGATGATGATGATGATGATGATGATGATGATGATGATGATGATGATGATGATGATGATGATGATGATGATGATGATGATGATGATGATGACGATGACGATGATGTCCGATGCCCGGTGCGCAAAAGACTCGGCTCCAGCGGCGCCATCCACGCCTGCGCGTCGGCGGCGCAGTGGGCCCGCGCCGCGAGCCTGCTGCTGCGCGCGGCGGGCGCGTCGCTGCCGCCCACGGTGCAGGCCGGCGCCGTGCAGCGGCCGCGCGGCGCCGCCGCCTTCGCCGCCGCGCGCACCGGCAGCCCCGGGGCCGAAGACCTCCGCCGCGTCGTTTCGGGGGCGGCAGAGAGGGGGGCGATGACGAAGGGGGGCGGGATGTCGAGGCGGGGGCCATGATATCTCCCCAGATTTCATGGCGCCTCTTCTTATCTCAATGCGTCCCTGGCCCCCCCCCCCTGGGCCGCGCACATGCCCCTGGCCATGATTCATTGGCTTGCGCCGCGCCGCCGACCCCTCGGGGCGGCAGCAAGAGTGAACGACGGAGTTCGCGGAACGCGCGCGATCGCTGGGCAATCTTGTGGTTTCGGCCTGTCTTGCGTAGCGTGTGGGGTTCAAGGGGGGGGCCTTGTAGGGGATTGTTTTGAAGATTCTCGTGATCTTATGTGGGTTGCTTGGGGCCTTCACGGAGCCTGTCCCAGGCCTCCTTTTCCACCCCCTGGAAAGGCTCGGGGATCCTCTTGGGCAATCTTTCGGCGATCTTTAGGGGCTCTTGGGCCGCCTCGGGCCGTCGGAAGGCCGAAAAGAAGGAAATGTCAAAATCCGTCAAAAACTTTCGGAAAATCAGTGCTTTTGGCCTCTTCTGGCCTTCCTGGAGGCCCTCTTGGGGGCCTCTTGGGCCGTCTTGGGCCAGCTTCGAGCCAACTTCGGCCATCTTGGTGGGTTCCTGGCACGTCTGACGCCGTCGGGAGCCGTCTTGGGGGCCTTTCTGGGCCGACTTGGGGCCCTCTTGGGGTGCTTCGGGGCCGTCTTGGAGGCCATCTTGGGCGTCTTGGAGGCCATCTTGGGCGTGTTGGAGGCCTCTTGGGCCGTCTTGGGGCCCTCTTGGGGCCGTCTTGGAGGCCACTTGGGCCGTCATGGGGCCCTCTTGGGGGCCTCTTGGGCGATCTTGGGAGCCTCTTGGGCCGTCTTGGGCCGTCTTGGGCCATCTTGGGCCGTCGGAAAGCCGAAAGGGCGCACATGCCCAAATCCTTCAAAAACCTATGGAATATCAATGATTTTGGCCTCGTCGGGCCTTCCTGGAGGACCTCTTGGAGGCCTCTTGGGCTGTCTTGGAGGCCTCTGGCGGGCCTTTTGGGCCGTCGTAGACCATCTTGAGGCCATCTTGGGCCATCTTGGGTGCATCTTGGAGCCATCTTAGCCGTCTTTGAGGCCATCTTGGCTGTCTTGGAGGCATCGTGGAGGCCATCCTCGGCCATATTGGCCGTCTTAGAGGCCATCTTGGGCCAACTTGGGGCAACAAAGGCATTGACGGGTGGATTTTCGGGAATCTCCCAGGACCCCGGCGGGACGGGCCGAAGCCCCAGGGGGAGTTCTTTTGGAAAAAAAAGCAAAACCAAAACCGAGAGGATTCAGCACGCCAGGCACCCCTGCGATGACTCGACAGGGGGCGGCGGATCGAAGACGCCTACGGCGAATCACCGCCGCCCCCTGCCTTTGTGGAAGCGCCTATGTGGCCGAACGTTGAGGCCAGACCTGCCAAGCCATCGGACCATGTGTTCCCCGAATCGGTTTGGAAAGCCTTCGGGGAACACGTGGGCATCTTGAAGGTCACCTTGGCCGTCTTGGAGGCCTCTTGGGCGATCTTTCAGCGATCTCTGGGGGCTCTTGGGCCGTCTCGGGCCGTCGGGAGGCCGAAAAGAAGGAAATGTCAAATTCCGTCAAAAAACCTTAAGAAATCAATGTTTTTGGCCTCTTCTGGCCTTCCTGGAGGCCCTCTTGGGGGCCTCTTGGGCCGTCTTGGGCCAGCTTCGAGCCAACTTCGGCCATCTTGGTGGGTTCCTGGCACGTCTGACGCCGTCGGGAGCCGTCTTGGGGGCCTTTCTGGGCCAACGGGGGACCCTCTTGGAGCGCTTCGGGGCAGTCTTGGAGGCCATCTGGGCGTCTTGGAGGCCATCTTGGGAGTGTTGGAGGCCTCTTGGGCCGTCTTGGGGCCCTCTTGGGCCATCTTGGAGGCCACTTGGGCCGTCATGGGGCCCTCTTGGGGGCCCCTTGGGCGATCTTGGGGGCCTCTTGGGCCGTCTTGAGCCGTCGGAATGCCGAGAAGAAGCAAATTCCAAAATCCTTCAAACACTTAAGTAAAATCAATGATTTTGGCCTCTTTGGGCCGTCCTGGAGGACCTCTTGGAGGCCTCCTGGGCCGTCTGGGAGGCCTCTGGGGGGCCTCTTGGGCCGTCTTGGGCCGTCTTGGACTCTCTTGAGCCGTCTTGGAGGCCGTCTTGGACCATCTTGGGTGGACTTGGAGGCCATCTTGGGCCATCTTCGCGATTTGTTGAGGATGTCCCGAGCGAAACGGCAGTTTCAGGGAGGATTGTTTGTGGAGTTTGCGGTCTTGGAAGAGCCTCCCGGGACCCCGGCGGGACGGGCCGAAGCCCCAGGGGGAGTTTTTTGGAAAAAGAACCAAAGCCAAAACCGAAAGGGTCAAGCACGCCAGGCACCCCTGCGATGACTCGACAGGAGGCGGCGGATCGAAGACGCCTACGGCGAATCACCGCCGCCCCCTGCCTTTGTGGAAGCGCCTATGTGGCCGAACGTTGAGGCCAGACCTGCCAAGCCATCGGACCATGTGTTCCCCGAATCGGTTTGGAAAGCCTTCGGGGAACACGTGGGCGTCTTGAAGGTCATCATCTTGGCCGTCTTGGAGGCCTCTTGGGCGATCTTTCAGCGATCTCTGGGGGGCTCTTGGGCGGTCTCGGGCCGTCGGAAGGCCGAAAAGAAGGAAATGTCAAATTCCGTCAAAAACCTAAGGACTATCAATGTTTTTGGCCTCTTCTGGCCTTCCTGGAGGCCCTCTTGGGGGCCTCTTGGCCCCTTTTGGGCCAGCTTCGAGCCAACTTCGGCCATCTTGGTGGGTTCCTGGCACGTCTGACGCCGTCGGGAGCCGTCTGGGGGGCCTTTCTGGGCCAACGGGGGGCCCTCTTGGGGCGCTTCGGGGCCGTCTTGGAGGCCATCTTGGGCGTGTTGGAGGCCTCTTGGGCCGTCTTGGGGTCCTCTTGGGGCCGTCTTGGAGGCCACTTGGGCCGTCATGGTGCCCTCTTGGGGGCCTCTTGGGCGATCTTGGGGGCCTCTTGGGCCGTCTGGAGCCGTCGGAATGTCCAGAAGAAGCAAATTCCAAAATCCTTCAAACACCTAAGGAAAATCTATGATTTTGGCCGCCTTGGACCATCTTGGGCGGACTTGGAGGCCATCTTGGACCATCTTGGAGGCCATGGGGGGCCATCTTGGCCATCTTGGAGCTGTCTTGGGCAGAAAATTGGGGAAGTGAGGTCCGTGGAAAAAATCCTGGGACCCCGGCGGGACGGGCCGAAACCCATTGGGAGAGTTCTTGTGGAAAAAAGCCAAAACCAAAACCGATAGGGTTTGGCACGCCAGGCACCCCTGCGATGAATCGACAGGGGGCGGCGGATCGAAGACGCCCACGGCGAATCACCGCCGCCCCCTGCCTTTGTTGAAGCGCCTATGTGGCCGAACGTTGAGGCCAGACCTGCCAAGCCATCGGACCATGTGTTCCCCGAATCGGTTTGTAAAGCCTTCGGGGAACACGTGGGCATCTTGAAGGTCATCTTGGCCGTCTTGGAGGCCTCTTGGGCGATCTTTCGGCGATCTTTGGGGGCTCATGGGCCGTCTCGGGCCGTCGGAAAGCCGAAAAGAAGAAAATGCTAAAATCCGTCAAAAACCTAAGGACTATCAATGTTTTTGGCCTCTTCTGGCCTTCCTGGAGGCCCTCTTGGGGGCCTCTTGGCCCCTTTTGGGCCAGCTTCGAGCCAACTTCGGCCATCTTGGTGGGTTCCTGGCACGTCTGACGCCGTCGGGAGCCGTCTCGGGGGCCTTTCTGGGCCAACGGGGGACCCAATTTGGGCGCTTCGGGGCCGTCTTGGAGGCCATCTGGGCGTCTTGGAGGCCATCTTGGGCTTGTTGGAGGCCTCTTGGGCCGTCTTGGGGCCCTCTTGGGGCCATCTTGGAGGCCACTTGGGCCGTCATGGGGCCCTCTTGGGGGCCTTTTGGGCGATCTTGGGGGCCTCTTGGGCCGTCTTGAGCCGTCGGAATGCCCAAAAGAAGCAAATTCCAAAATCCTTCAAAAACCTATGGAAAATAAATGATTTTGGCCTCTTCGGGCCCTCCTGGAGGACCTCTTGGAGGCCTCTTGGGCCGTCTGGGAGGCCTCTGGGGGGCCTCTTGGGCCGTCTTGGACTCTCTTGGGCCGTCTTGGAGGCCGCCTTGGATCATCTTGGGCGGACTTGGAGGCCATCTTGGACCATCTTGGAGGCCATCTTGGAGGCCATCTTGGAGCCGTCTTGGGCACAAAAGTAGGGAATTGAGGTCCGTGGAAAAAATCCCGGGACCCCGGCGGGACGGGCCGAAACCCATTGGGAGAGTTCTTTGGGGAAAAGAACCACAACCAAAACCGAGAGGATCTAGCACGCCAGGCACCCCTGCGATGAATCGACAGGGGGCGGCGAATATAGTGGCCTTCGGCCCATCCCGCCACCGTGCCTTGGTTGTCTGCCTGAGATCCTTGGTGCCTGGGTTACGGGTTAGAAGTTGCATGCCTCAAGTGTTACTTGGGGCTTCTTTTGAGCCTCTTGGGGGCCTTTTGGGGGGCCTCCTGGGGGGCCTCCCGGGCCCTGTTGGGCGCCCCTTGGGCCCCCCCATGGGCCGCTTTGGGGCGGAAGGCTCGGGGCGCTGTTTCCGGCTCCCCTTCTGGGGCCCCTCTTTGGGCCGTCTTGGGGCCCTCTTTGGGCCCCCCTTGGGAGCCTCTTGGGCCGTCTTGGCGCCCTCTTGAGCCGTTCCGAGCGCCTCTTGGGAGCCTCTTGGGCCGTTTGGGGGCGGTCTTGGGGGACTCTGGAACCGGCTTCCAGGCCGTGGAGGCCGAGAAGTCGTGCATGATAAACATGCACGTTCCCCATGGGATTTTGGCCTCTTGGGCCCCTCTTGGGAATGCTCTTGGGGGCTTCCTGGGCCGTCTGGGGGGCTTCTGCGGCCCTCGATCCACAACGCTATATAGCACAATCGCGGCATGGCACATCGCAATTCAGCACGGCGCAGCACAGCACAGCCGTCGGCACCGTACATCAAGATCGATACATTCAACATTGCACTTTGGCACGTTCCTTGGCACGTTCCGTGGCGCGTCCCGCGGCGAGTCCCCCTGGCGCGTCGCGCGGCGCGTCCCCTGGCACGTCCCGTGGCACGTTCATTGGCACGTTCCGTAGCGCGTCCCTTTGGCACGTCCCGCGGTGCGTCCCCATGGCACGTCCACTGGCACGTCGCCTGGCGCGTCCCTTGGGACGTTCCGCGGCGCGTCCTTCTAATTAGCATGCCCCCCTGTGAATTAGCTCTGGGGCAGCTACTATGTGCTCAGGCAGCTCGAGCTTAAGATCCAGATCAGTTCGGTCAGGACTCGGATGCAAAGGAGGACTCGATCCACAACGCTACAGAGCACAATCGCGGCATGGCGCATTGCAATTCAGAACGGCGCAGCACAGCGCAGCCCTCGGCACGGTACATCAAGATCGATACACTCAGCATTGCACTTGCCCGTTTCCCAGTGAGGTGTCTTTGAAACGCCGCCATGCCTTACATTTCTATATTCCTTGCCGGGTTCGTGGGTCGATCATGTTCGCAATTTTTGGCCTCTAGCGGCCCTCGCCGGGCCCGGGGATTGTCAAAAAGCGACTCATAATGAAAAAGCGGCCCTGGGGAATGAATGGGTCGAGGGTCGAGAGTTCCAGGGACCCCGCATGGAAAAAGTCACGACGTCGGATCTTTGGGCAGGCAGCTCCTATAGGCAGCGCTGCCCGGGGTCGTGGGCAGCGCCTGGGCAGCTTCTGAGGGCAGCGGTTCCCAGGCTCGCACGCGGCTCTCAGGTGCGCGCACCTGCCTCGGCCATGATCGGCGTCACACCAACATACTTATCGTCCTCCTCTTCCTCCTCCTCCTCCTCCTCCTTTTCCTCCTTTTCCTCCTCCTCCTCCTCCTCCTCCTCCTCCTCCTCCTCCTCATGCGGTCCGGAGTAGTAGGTCGACCCTGCCAAATCAAGGGTACTCTTGTGTCCTGTGCATCGCGCGTCGTGTCCTCTGCAGCCATGGTTTCGGAAGCCATGTTGCCGTCGGAGGAGTCTTGTGTCCTGTCGCGTGTCCTGTGCGCAATGTTCTGCCTGTCTACTATATGTGCGTCGCCCCCTCAGGGGCGACGCGCGCACCGAGGAATCTTATAGTACATGCGTCGCGGCGGGCGCTTTCTGGCCACACCGCTCGGGGAACGACATACTACAAGATGGGTATACTAGATGTTCGGGTCGGACGCCTGCCTCCAAGGAGGACATCTAGTACTAGTATGTCTCTGTGCGTCCCACATGATGCGCTGACCCCCCGCTTCGGCGCACCCGAGCAGAAGCCGCGCAGAGGCCTGCAACGGGTCCATCGCCGCCTGCGCCGCCGCGACCGCCTGGCAGGCCGCGGTGGCGCTCTGGCACCGGATGGGGGCGCCGGGAGGACGCCGAGCCCACCACGTCGTCGGCGGCAGCGACGGCGATGGCGACGACTGCGGCAGCGGCGGCGGCGGCCACGCCGGTGCCAGCGACGGCGACGTCGACGGCGGGGACGGCTGCGGCAGCAGCAGCGGCGACGGCGGCGGCGGCGACCGCGGGCTGCGGCGGCGCCAGCCGTGGCGGCGGAGGCGACCGTGGGCGGCGGTGGCTGCGGCGTCGGCGGCGGGGGGGGACCGATGGCCGCGGCGGCGGGAGGAATCGAGAAAGCGCAAGCATGGATTAAAGCGGGTGGATCTGCGACGGGCCCGATTTCCGAGCAGAATCGGCACCTTCCGTGATCAAATGAGGCGACACGGGCACGGGTTTCCCGGAAACGGCCCAGGATTCTCTATAGTATTATTACACCCGATTTCGACTTGAAGGAGGCTGGCGGAGTTATTTTGCGATAAATGACGAGAGTTCGAAGGAGGCCGGCGGAATTATTTTTGAGGATGTCTCGAGCGAAACGCTTGTTTTTCAGAATTTGTTGAGGATGTCTCATGCGAAACGCTGGTCTTGCAGAGTTGGGGGATGTCTCGAGCGAAACGCTTGTGTTTCAGAATTTGTTGAGGATGTCTCGAGCAAACGCATGTCCCAATACAGAAAAGTGATAGTTTTTTGCTCTGAACAAGGGGTTGCGCCTCTCCCGGGAAAACTGCCGAGGATGTCTCGAGCGGGAGCGCGAATTCAGCGTATCCAGGTCACGCAGGGGGTATCTAACATGGCTGTCCCGAGCTGGGACCACATCTTCTTTCATGCTCAGGCCACCCAGGGAGATCTCTGACATGATTGTCCCGAGCTGGAGCCACGTGTTTTTACGTGTCCAGGCCGCCCAGGGGGTATCTAACATTTCCCGAGCTGGCACCGTGTTTTTACGTGTCCAGGCCACCAACAGGACGCTTGTCCCCAGCACGTTTTGTAGCGCGTCCCCTTGGCACGTCCCGCGGTGCGTCCCCGTGGCACGTCCCCTGCCACGTCGCCTGGCGCGTCCCTGGAACGTTCCGCGGCGCATCTTCCTGGCATGTTTCCTTGTCAACTAGCTCTGGGGCAGCTACTATATGGACTATGTGCTCAGGCAGCTCGAGCTTAAGATCCAGATCAGTTCGGTCAGGACTCGGATGCGACAGAGGACTCGATCTACAACCATGTAGAGCACAATCGCGGCATGGCACATCGCAGTTCAGCACGGCGCAGCACAGCACAGCCCTCGGCACGGTACATCAAGATCGATACAATCACTCAGCATTGCAACTTGGCACGTTCCGTGGCGCGTCCTATGGCGAGTCCCCCTGGCACGTCGCGCGGCGCGTCCCCGTGGCACGTCCCGTGGCACGTCCATTGGCACGTTCCGTAGCGCGTCCCCTCGGCACGTCCCGCGGTGCGTCCCCATGGCACGTCCCCTTGCAAGTCGCCTGGTGCGTCCCTTGAGACTTTCCGCGGCGCGTCTTCCTAGCATGCCCCAACACTGTAGAGCACAATCGCGGCATGGCACATCGCAGTTCAGCACGGCGCAGCACAGCACAGCCCTCGGCACGGTACATCAAGATCGATACAATCAGCATTGCAACCTGGCACGTTCCGTGGCGCGTTTCGTGGCGAGTCCCCCTGGCACGTCGCGCGGCGCGTCCCCGTGGCACGTCCCGTGGCACGTCCATTGGCACGTTCCGTAGCGCGTCCCCTCGGCACGTCCCGCGGTGCGTCCCCGTGGCACGTCCCCTGGCACCTCGCTTTGCGCGTCCCTTGGGACGTTCCGCGGCGCGTCCTCCTTGCATGTTCCCCTGTCAATCAGCTCTTGGGCAACTACCAGTTATGTGCTCAGGCAGTTCGAGCTTAAGTTCCAGATCAGTTCGGTCGGGACTCGGATGCAAAGGAGGACTCGATCCACAACGTCACAAAGCACAATCTTGGCCTGGCACATCGGAATTCAGCACAGCGCTGCACAGCACAGCCCTCGGCACGGTACATCAACGATACACTGAGCACTGCATTTGCCCGTCGCCCAATCAGGTGTCTTTGAAACGTTGCTGCCATGTCTTACATTTCTATATTCCTTTCCGGGTTCGTGGGTCGATCATGTTCCCATATCCGCGGAACTGGTGTGGCACCCACGCGCCAGATTCACGATCCGTGATCCACGTCAGCGTGCGTCTGGAGGCAGGTGAGCCGTGGAGCGGCGATCGCGCGGCCGCGGTCGCAGTGGTCGGTCAAGGCGGAGGGCTGCAATGGCGGAGGTCCACGCCCGACAACGGCTGCCAGGGGAAGTGCAGTCGAGGCGCTTCTGATCGACAGAAGCAGCGCCCACCGGCGCTGCACCCGCGGCCGCAGAAAAACGGCGGCGGGAGCGGCGGCGGCGGCTCCGGCGGCAGCCCCCCTTGCGGCGGCGGCGATGCCAAGCACAGCAGGCCTGCGGCCACGGGCCACGCATCGCAGAGGGTCGCGCGCCACACGCTCTGCCTCGGTCGGGCGCGTCTGGCCTCGCCGCTTTTGCTCCCCCGGCTCGCCCCTCCCACGCGACAGGTCTTCCCCCTCGCTCGATGTGTGGTTGCGCGGGCTTTCACAGGGCCTGGCTCTGCAGAGCGCGTCGGAGCTCTTCGAGATTCGAGCATCGACAGCTGCAGATCACGCAACAGATGCATGCACGCATGCATGCGCCATAACCTGAGCACCTGTCTGGAGCAAGCACCATGCGATTACAACATGTTCGTAAGTGATCATGCGCTGCATGACGTGGCAGCGAGGCAAGACACAAGTGTGACCAAAAAGTTCATGTGAGGACTGCATCTATCTTCTCTTCCGCCTCTCCTCGTCCTCCCCTGCGCCTTCCTCCTCCCTCGGCGGCTGCCTTGCGCGGGATGGCTCCTGAGCGCCGCCCTCCTCTGCACACAGGTGTACCCGGCACGCGCACGCGTGCTGTTTCTGCCCACGGAGCCTGTGCGCCCAGCGTGCGGCTGCTCGGCATCCCCTCGGCGTTCCTCCCCTGCTTTCGGCCGGCCTCTACGCAACGGACTGGACTGATCATGGCCGACCGACGGTTTCCCGACCGAGAGCTCGTACGTTCCACTAGTCGGGGGCAAGAGGCCGTCATCTGATATTTGATATTGCCCATGTTGATGACTGTTGGCGACGTGAGGGCTCTCCACTCGGTGCCTATGGCATGTTGTGGTGGATTTTGGTTGCAACGCGAGCCATCCGACTTCTCGACCACATGCCAAGTGCCCCGTTGTTCCCGGAAAGTGCTTAGGCCCATGGTTCTCTTTTAGTTATGTTCCCCCCCGGTTTTGACGGCTGTAGGGCCGGCGAATTTTCTTGCGAGAAATAACTAGGTCGCCCAAGGCCGGCGAATTAAAAATTGAGGATGTCCCTAGCGAAACGCTTGTTTTTCAGAATTAGTTGAGGATGTCTTGAGCGAAACGCTGGTTCTGCAGAGTTGGAGCATGTCTCGGGCGAAACGCTTGTTTCAGAATTTGTTGAGGATGTCTCGAGCGAAACGCTGGTTTTGCAGAGTTGGGGGATGTTTCGAGCGGGGGCCTCGTGGGGGCCAGAATTCAGAGGATGTCTCAGGCGAAATGCTTGTTTTCACGTGCCCAGGTCGGCCAGGGGGGTATCCAACATGGTTGTCCGTCGCTGACGCCCCAGACGACCGCATGTTGGATGTCCCCCCTGGGTGTGATGGTCCCGAGCTGGAATCACGTGTTTTCACGTGTCCAGCCCACCCAGGGGTGTATCTAACATGGTGGTCCCGAGCTGGAACCACGTGTTTTAACATGTTCAGGCCACCCAGGAGGGGTATCTAACATGGTGGTCCTGCGCTGGTTCTAGCTCGAGCTTAAGATTCAGATCAGTTCGGTCAGGACTTGTATGCAACGGAGGACTCGATCCACAACGCTATAGGGCACAATCGCGGCATGGCACATCGCAGTTCAGCACGGCGCAGCACAGCACAGCCATCGGCACGGTACATCAAGATCGATACATTCATTCAGCATTGCAACCTGGCCGTTCCTTGGCACGTTCCGTGGCGCGTCCTGTGGCGAGTCCCCCTGGCACGTCGCGCGGCGCGTCCCCTGGCACGTCCCGTGGCACGTCCATTGGCACGTTCCGTAGCGCGTCCCTTTGGTACGTCCCGTGGTGCGATGGCATGTCCCCTGGCACGTCGCCTGGTGCGTCCTCCGCGGCGCGTCTTCCTGGCATGTTCCCCTATCAATTAGCTCCGGGGCAGCTACTATGTGGACTATGTGCTCAGGCAGCTCGAGCTTAAGATCCAGATCAGTTCGGTCAGGACTCGTATGCAACGGAGGACTCGATCCACAACACTACAGAGCACAATCGCGGCATGGCACATCGCAGTTCAGCACGGCGCAGCACAGCACAGCCCTCGGCACGGTACATCAAGATCGATACACTCACTCAGCATTGCAACCTGGCACGTTCCTTGGAAGGTTCCGTGGCGCGTCCTGTGGCGAGTCCCCCTGGCATGTCACGCGGCGCGTCCCCTGGCACGTCCCGTGGCACGTCCATTGGCACGTTCCGTAGCGCGTCCCCTTGGCACGTCCCGCGGTGCGTCCCCGTCGCACGTTCCCTGGCTTGGAACGTTCCGTGGCGCGTGTTCCTGGCATGTTCCCTTGTCATGTAGCTCTGGGGCAGCAACTATGTGCTCAGGCAGCTCGAGCTCAGGATCCAGATCAGTTCGGGCAGGACTCGTATGCAACGGAGGACTCGATCCATAACACAATAGAGCACAATCGCGGCATGGCACATCGCAGTTCAGCACGGCGCAGCACAGCACAGCCCTCGGCACGGTACATCAAGATCGATATATTCACTCAGCATTGCAACCTGGCACGTTCCTTGGCACGTTCCGTGGCGCGTCCTGTGGCGAGTCCCCCTGGCACGTCGCGCGGCGCGTCCCCTGGCACGTCCCGTGGCACGTCCATTGGCACGTTCCTTGGCACGTCGCCTGGTGCGTCCCTTGGAACGTTCCGCGGGCGTCTTCCTGGCATGTCCCCCTGTCAATTAGCTCTGGGGCAACTACTATGTGCTCAGGCAGCTCGAGCTTAGTTCGGCCAGGACTCGTATGCAACGGAGGACTCGATCCACAACACTATAGAGCACAATCGCGGCATGGCACATCGCAGTTCAGCACGGCGCAGCACAGCACAGCCCTCGGCACGGTGCATCAAGATCGATACACTGAGCATTGCATTTGCCCGTCGCCCAAGTAGGTGTCTTTGAAACGCTGGCATGGCTTACATTTCTATATTCCTTTCCGGGTTCGTGGGTCGATCATGTTTTTCATTCCGAGCCGTTTGTCAAGGTCTTCCAGAGGCCCAGGTTTTGCACAACTTGGCGTTACCCTGCTGCCCCGCGGAAGGAGCCCGCCCCAACGTCACCACGCACGCGACGTTGGCCGCTGCATGCGAGGACGCGGGAAGACAATATTCATTATGTATCCCATGTCTTCGAGGTGGAGAACTGATGTGTTTGTTTGCGATTTTATTATTTATCTCTTCAGGTTCTTCCGGGGAGCAGGAGAAGGAGGAGGAGGAGGACGAAGATGAGGATAGATACCGCGGGTTGCGCCTCCATACGACCGCCTTGCCTCTTGTGCTCCCCTGGCGCGCTCTCCTCTGTGCCCCTCCCCCCGTGCTGCACAGACAGGCGGGCAGTTGACAGAAGGTGACCAGGGCAGCGCGTTTCAGTCGGCAATTTCCTGCCCCACCTTCTTGCGCCAGCTTTACTCATCTTTCTTGTGAAGGCCTGACGGCGGGTGCCGCCGACCCTGAAAGATCTCGACGACGACCAGGAGGGGGAGGAGGAGAAGGAGGAGGAGGAGGAGGAGGCGGAGATAAGGAGGAGGAGGAGAAGGAGGAGGAAAAGGACTCTCTCCTTGGAGCCCCCCTCCTGGGGAGGAGGACCGGAGGCGGACTGGCGTGGGGGAGGAGGGGAGGGGGAGGAACAACCCCCAGGGACGGGTGCGTATCTGACTCCCCTCCCACCCCCACTGGGACTCCTCGCCACCTGGGCAGGAGTTTCCTGCCCCACCTTCTTGCGCCCTGACGTTGTGTTTTTTGCACAACGTCGACCCCCAGAGGTCTGGACCTCTTCTCCGGGACCGGTTTTTCGTCCAGAGTCGTTTTTTGACGGTCCTGAGGCCGGGTGAGGGCCCCCAGAGGCCGAAAATAGTGAAATCCCGTCGCGTTTTTTGCGCAACGCGAGGAGGTCAGGGCCCCCCGCCACCATTGTGGCCGAGGTTCTCGCAAAATCCGCTCGGCGCTGGTCCCAGGACCCCTCCGGGGGGTCCATCCCGGCCGGCGGACCGAGCGGCGCGCATCAGCCGTGGCCACCACGGGGGCCTCCGGGGGCTCTGGAGCAGCTCGGGGCGGCCACGTCGTCGACGGCGCCGACAGCATGCCCAGAGATCCGACGTATTGAACAAATCGAGACGCAGGTTTTTCGTAAGTTTCTACCTCTAGAGGCCCTCGCCGGGCCCCGGGACCGTCAAAGAACGACTCAGGATGAAAAGCCGGTCCTGGGATATGGGTCGAGACCTCCAGGGACCCCATATTGAAAAAATCACGATGTCGGATCTCTGGGTACCCACCCGCGCCGAGAAGTCTTGCGGCGTGGCGGGCGCTTCCTGGTCACGCCGCTGGGGAAACGATGTTACGACAGGACTTGGGTGTACTATGCGTTCGGGTCCGCCGCGCCCCTCCATGCAGTATTAGTCGGAGGTGAGGGGGTGAAATCAGAGGATGTCTCAGGTGAAATGCTTGTTTTCACATGCCCAGGTCTTGAGGATGTCTCGAGCGAGACGCTTCGAGGATGTCTCGAGCGAAACGCTTGTTGTCACTGTGCCCAGGTCACCCTGGCGGACGTCCAACATGAAGATGTATTGAGGATGTCTCGAGCGAACCACTTGTTTTCGGCACGTTCCGTAGCGCGTCCCGCGGGGAGTCCTCCTGGCACGTCACGCGGCGCATCCCCTGGCACGTCCCGTGGCACGTCCCGTGGCACGTTCCGTAGCGCGTCCCCTTAGCACGTCCCGCGGTGCGTCCCCATGGCACGTCCCTTGGCACGTCGCTTGGGGCGTTCCTTGGGACGTTCCGCGGTGCATCTTCCTGGCATGTTACCCTATCAATTAGCTCCGGGGCAGCTACTATGTGCTCAGGCAGCTCGAGCTTAAGGTCCAGATCAGTTCGGTCAGGACTCGGATGCAAATGAGGACTCGATCCACAGCGCTATAGAGCACAATCGCGGCATGGCACATCGCAATTCAGCACGGCGCTGCACAGCACTGCCTTCTGCACGGTACATCCAGATCGATACATTCACCATCGCATTTGCCCGTCGCCAAATCAGGTGTCTCGGAAAACGTTGCCATGTCTTACATTTCTGTATTATTGTCTGGGTTCGTGGGCCGATAATATACATATAACGGCGCACCGGGTCCGGGGGCCCGGGGCCGGGACCTCTACCACAAATGTGCGCCCCGGGGGGCCCGGAGGCTCGTCGGGGCTTGCCGGAGGCCTCCCCAGTCAGACAAGACGGCCCAAGAAGCGCCCAAGACGGCCCAAGAAACTTCCAAGAGGCCTCCAAGAGGGCTCCGAGATGCTGAAGATGGCCTCCAGACGTCCAAGGAGGCCCCCAAGAGGCCCCAAGAAGCCTCCAACATGCGTCCCAAGAGGGCCCCTAGACGCAAAAATTGGCCCATTCCCTTCGTAAAACGTACATTTTCAACAAAGTTGCCTTTTGGGCTTTCCGACGTTACAGGACGGCCCAAGAGGCGCCCAAGACCGCCCCAAGACGGCCCAAGAAGCTTCCAAGAGGGCCCCAGGACAGCCCAAGAGGGCCCCAAGACGGCCCAAGAGGCGCCCAAGATGGCCCAAGAGGGCCCCAAGACGGGCCCAAGAGGGGGCCCAGAGGGGGACCACGAACCGCAAGCTCGAGCCTTCCGCCCCAAGAGGCCGCCAGGAGGCCCCCAGGAGGCCCCTCAAGAGGCCCCAGGAGACCCCAGACGTCCAAGGACGCCCCCAAGAGGCTCCAAGAAGCCTCCAACATGCGTCCCAAGAGGGCCCCTAGACGCAAGAATTGGCCCATTCCCTTCGTAAAACGTACATTTTCCCGGAAAGGGCATGAGCCCAGGGTTCTCTTTTAGTGGGTAAACCTGTCCCCCGGTGCCAACTTGAAGGAGGCCGGCGAATTTTTTCCCTGATAAATAACGAGGTCGAAGGAGGCCGGCGAATTAAAATTTGAGGATGTCTCGAGCGAAACGCTTGTTTTTGAAATCCCGATCGATAAATCACAGGGTGCGGGCCACTTTTTCGTGTGTTGAGGATGTCTCGAGCGAAACGCTTGCTCCGCAGAGTTTGCCGAGGATGTCTCTAGCGAAACGCTTGTTTTGCAGAGCCGACCGCGACGCGGAAAAGCGCCCCGCGCGAAGGAATTTCGATGATGTCTCGACTAATTCGTTTGTTTTTGTACGATTTCCTGGAATTTTGGCAGGATGTCTCGAGCGAAATGCGCCTGTGACCCCACCCTATCACGAACACGCTACCCCAGCACGACCACACCCCGCAACGACCACACCCAGCACGACCCCACCCCAGCCCGACACACCCCACACTACCATACCCCAGCACGACCACAACCCCAGCCCGACCCGTCCGACCCCAGCACGACCCTACACCACAGACCCACCACCCGCAGCACACCCACCCCAGCACGACCTCCCCACCAGCACGACCCACTCCAAGCACGACCACGCCCACAGCCCGACCACGCCCCAGCACGCCCCACGCCCCAGCACACCACCCCCAGCACGACCACCCCCCCACACGACACCCCCCAGGCACGACCACATCCCAGCACGACCACACCCCAGCACGACCACTCCCCAGCACGACCACGCCCCAGCACGACCACACCCCAGCGCGACCACACCCCAGCACGACCACACCCCAGCACGACCACACCCCAGCACGACCACACCCCAGCACGACCCGATCGATAAATCACCGGGTGCGGAGCACCCCAGCACGAACCCACCCCAGCACGACCCCACCCCAGCACGACCCCACCCCAGCACGACCACGCCCCAGCAGGACCACACCCCAGCACGACCACACCCCAGCACGACCACTCCCCAGCACGACCCCACCCCAGCACGACCCCACCCTAGCACGACCACACCCCAGCACGACCACACCCCAGCACGACCCCACCCCAGCATGACCACACCCCAGCACGACCCCACCCCAGCAAGACCACACCCCAGCACGACCACACCCCAGCACGACCTTACCACAGCACGACCACACCCCAGCACGACCACGCCCCAGCACGACCACGCCCCAGCACGACCACGCCCCAGCACGACCACGCCCCAGCACGACCACGCCCCAGCACGACCACCCCCCAGCACGACCACTCCCCCAGCACGACCACCCCCCAGCACGACCACCCCCCAGCACGACCACACCCCAGCACGAACACTCCCCAGCACGACCACACCGCCTTGGTTGAGTGGTTGCCTGTCGTCGTGGAATATTTCGGGGGGTGTCTCGTTGAATGTTTCGCGGGGTGTCTCGTGAAATGTTTCGTGAGGTGTCTCGTGGAATGTTTCGTGAGGTGTCTCGTGGGCTGTTTCGTGAGGTGTCTCGTGGGATGTTTCGTGAGGTGTTGCCCAGTTGGGTATCATGAAAACGTGTCCATCTCCACATGTCTATATCCCTTTCCGGGTTCGTGGGTCCATCATGTTCAACAAATTCGCCTTTTGGGCTTTCCGACGTTACAGGACGGCCCAAGAGGCGCCCAAGACCGCCCCAAGACGGCCCAAGAAGTTTCCCAGAGGGCCCCAGGACAGCCCAAGAGGGCCCCAAGACGGCACAAGAGGCGCCCAAGATGGCCCAAGAGGGCCCCAAGACGGGCCCAAGAGGGGGCCCAGAGGGGGACCACGAACCGCAAGCTCGAGCCTTCCGCCCCAAGAGGCCGCCAGGAGGCCCCCAGGAGGCCCCTCAAGAGGCCCCAGGAGACCCCAGACGTCCAAGGACGCCCCCAAGACGCCCCAAGAAGCTTCCAACATGCGTCCCAAGAGGGCCCCTAGACGCAAAAGTTGGCCCATTCCCTTCGTATTATCCCGGCAAAGCAACCTAACATCGATGTGTAGGAGCATATCTGGAAGCATTCCCCTTCAGATTCGGATGAGAATCCAGTTGTAGAATTCTGCTGTTCTCGCAGTCGTAGTCGCATTCGCGATGACAGTCGCAGTGGCAACGGCAGTCGCAGTCACAGCCTCAGCCTCAGCCTCAGCCTGCCTCAGCCTCAGCCTCAGCCTGCCTCAGCCTCAGCCTGCCTTGGCCTCAGCCTCAGCCTGCTTCAGCCTCAGCCTCAGTCTGCCTTCAGCCTCGGCCTCCGCCTCAGCCTGCCTCAGCCTCAGCCTGCATCAGCCTCAGCCTCAGCCTCAGCCTGCCTCAGCCTCAGCCTGCCTCAGCATCAGCCTGCCTCAGCCTCAGCCTCAGCCTCAGCCTCAGCCTCAGCCTCAGCCTCAGCCTGCTTCAGCCAAAGCCTCAGTCTGCCTTCAGCCTTGGCCTCAGCCTCAGCCTGCTTCAGCCTCAGTCTGCCTCAGCCTCAGCCTCGGCCTCAGCCTCCCTCAGCATCAGCATGCCTCAGCCTCAGCCTGCCTCTGCCTCAGCCTCAGCCTGCTTCAGCCTCAGCCTCAGTCTGCCTTCAGCCTCGTCCTCAGCTTCAGTCTGCCTTCAGCCTCAGCCTGCCTCAGCCTCAGCCTCAGCCTCAGCCTGCCTCAGCATCAGCCTGCCTCAGCCTCAGCCTCAGCCTGCCTCAGCCTCAGCCTCAGCCTCAGCCTCAGCCTGCTTCAGCCAAAGCCTCAGTCTGCCTTGAGCCTTTGCCTCAGCCTCAGCCTCAGCCTGCCTCAGCCTCAGCCTGCATCAGCCTCAGCCTCAGCCTCAGCCTGCCTCAGCATCAGCCTGCCTCAGCCTCAGCCTGCCTCTGCCTCAGCCTCAGCCTGCTTCAGCCTCAGCCTCAGTCTGCCTTCATCCTCGGCCTCAGCCTCAGCCTGCCTCAGCCTCAGCCTGCCTCAGCCTCAGCCTCAGCCTGCCTCAGCATTCAAAATGTGGCCCGGGAATGGAGTTCTGGGAACTCGAAGAACACGAAGTGGCCTACAGTTTGCTCCGGGCATTCAAAATCATACCCAGGAATGGAGTTCTGGGAAGTCCAAGAGCACGAAGTGGCCTACAGTTGGCTCCGGGCATCCAAAATGTGGCCCGGGAATGGAGTTCTGGGAACTCGAAGAGCACGAAGTGGCCTACAGTTGGCTCCGGGCATTCAAAATGTGGCCCGGGAATGGAGTTCTGGGAAATAGAAGAGCACGAAGTGGCCTACAGTTGGCTCCGGGCCTCCAAAATGTGGCCCGGGAATGGAGTTCTGGGAAGTCGAAGAGCACGAAGTGGCCTACAGTTGGCTCCGGGCATCCAAAATGTGGCCCGGGAATGGAGTTCTGGGAAATCGAAGAGCACGAAGTGGGCACGAAGTGTGTGACTGTATGCGAAAAACGATCCCCGCCGGCAAACCCCAACAGCCCCCCAACTGCCCCCCCACTGCCCCCAACGGCTGCCCAGACCCCCCTGTGGAGTAATGTTGAAGTAATGTTGAAGTAATGTGCTGCTCTCTTTTGAGACTACTAGAAACCTATCAGTCTTCGATGTTAGGTAAAAACGTACATTTTCAACAAAGTTGTCTTTTGGGTTTTCCGACGTTACAGGACGGCCCAAGAGGCGCCCAATACCGCCCCAAGACGGCCCAAGAAGCTTCCAAGAGGGCCCCAGGACAGCCCAAGAGGGCCCCAAGACGGCCCAAGAGGCGCCCAAGATGGCCCAGGAGGGCCCCAAGACGGGCCCAAGAGGGGGCCCAGAGGGGGACCACGAACCGCAAGCTCGAGCCTTCCGCCCCAAGAGACCGCCAGGAGGCCCAAGGAGGCCCCTCAAGAGGCCCCAGGAGACCAGGCCCAAAGGAGGCCCAAGGACAGCCCAAGAGGGCCCCAAGACGGCCCAAGAGGCGCCCAAGATGGCCCAAGAGGGCCCCAAGACGGGCCCAAGAGGGGGCCCAGAGGGGGACCACGAACCGCAAGCTCGAGCCTTCCGCCCCACGAGGCCGCCAAGAGGCCCCCAGGAGGCCCCTCAAGAGGCCCCAGGAGACCCCAGACGTCCAAGGACGCCCCCACGACGCTTCGCGTCACCAATTTCTTCTCACAACGATTCCTGGGTCTGTGACTCGACAGAACCTAAGCGCGCGCGAAGCGCGCGCGTGGTTCTAGTGTTTATGTATGATTATTGCGTTTCTTCATAATTGACATTATTAATTGCGGGGCTTCCGTCAATTCTCATTTCCCGCGCTGCGGGGTGCGAGATTTCGATCGTTAACAATTGTTCGTTGCGTTGCGCCACGTCACCGACGCATCGACGATGCATCGGCGATGCGGCGATATCATCCGGCCCCATCTGCTCCGATCATATTAGAGAGGCCTCGATGATGATGCTGCTGCTGATGATGATGGTGATGGCGATGATGATGATGATGATGATGATGATGATGATGATGATGCTGATGCTGATGCTGATGCTGATGCTGATGCTGATGATGATGATGATGATGATGATGATGGGATGGTGATGATGATCATGATCATGATCATGATCATGATCATGCCGATGATGCTGATGATGGTGAAGATGGTCATGTTGACGATGACGATGATGATGCTGATGAAAATGATGGTGGTGATGATGATGACGATGAGGACTGTGATGATGGTGATGCTGATGCCCATGGCCATGATGCCGATGAGGCTGCTGCTGCTGATGATGATGATGCTGCTGTTGCTGCTGATGTTGATATTGATGAGGACGTTGATGATGATGATGCTGATGATGGTGGCGGTGATGGTGATGATGATAACTATGATGATGACCATCATCATCAGCAGCATCATGATCGTCATCACCATCATCATGCTGATGCTGATGCTGCTGCTGATGCTGATGCTGATGCCGATGATGATGGTCATGGGGATGGGGATGGTGGTGATGGTCATGATGATGATGATGATGATGATGATGATGATGATTATGATGATGATGATTGTGGTGGGGGTGGAGGTATGAGTGATATGCTGATGAGGATGATGAATGCTGCTGCGATGATGATAGGATGAGATGAGGATAAGATTGGATGAGGATGATGATCGGATGATGATGGCCTGATGCTGATGGCTGATTATGATGATGCTGATAGCTGATGATGATGATGATGATGGATGATGATGGTGCTGGTGATGATGATAATGATAGATGATGATGATGAGGATGTGGTGGTGGTGGTGTGGTGGTGGTGGTGATGGTGCTGATTATGATGATGCTGGTCGCTGAGAGATGATGAGGATGATGATGTGATGACGATGACGATGATGATGACGATGCGAATGACGATGACGATGATGAGGATGATGATGAGCTTATGATGATGAGGATGTGATGATGATGACGATGATGCTGATGATGATGCTGATGCTGCATGCTGATATGATGATGCTGAATGAGGATGCTGATGTGATGATGATGAATGATGATGATGATGGGTGATGGTGATGGTGATGGTGATGGTGATGGTGATGGTGATGGTGATGATATGATGATGATGATGATGTGATGATGATTATATGACGATGACGATGATGATGATGATGACGATGATGATGATGATGATGATGATGATGATGATGATGATGATGATGATGATGATGATGATGATGATGATGGTGGTGGTGGTGGTGGTGGTGGTGGTGGTGGTGGTGATGGTGGTGGTGATGATGATGACCATGATGACGCTCCCCCCTCACACGGGGGCTTCGACAACGTCCCCCCCCCCGCCCGAGAGGAGGCGGGCCAGGCCGCGCATGCGGCAGCCTCCGTGCGCCCGCTGCCCGCCCGCGCCCTGGCGTACCTGCTGGCCGGGCCGCTGGCCCTCCGCGCGCTGCGGCAGGAGCCACCCGCGCCCTCCGCGGCGAGGGCCTCTCCGGGGGCCTCCTCCTCCTCCTCCTCCTTCCTCATTCTCTTCCTTCCTCCTTCCTCCTCCTCCTCCTCCTCCTCCTCCCTCCTCCCTTCTCCCTCCTCCCTCCTCCCTCCTCCTCCTCTTCCCCCTCCCCCTCCTCCTCCCTCCTCCTCCTCTTCCCCCTCCCCCTCCTCCTCCTCCTCCTCCCCCTCCCTCCTCCTCCTCCTCCTCCTCCTCCTCCTCCTCCTCCTCCTCCTCCTCCTCCTCCTCCTCCTCCTCCTCCTCCTCCTCCTCCCCCCTCCAGAGAGGGGGGCGTGGCCCCCTCGGACCGAGGCCCGCGCCCTCACCGCCGCCGTATCACGCCTGCAGGCCCCCCGCGCCGTCCCACGCCGTGCCCGCCTGCGCTGCGCAGCTCCGCGGCGGTCTCATCGGACAGGGCGCAACGTTAGGGCGAGGGCACCACACCACCGATGGGAGAGACCACGCCGCGTGGTGAGTCGGTGGGGAGGATGACCCAGGTGTGCCCGATGGAGTGAGGGGCGAGGGCGAGGGCGTCCGACGACCGCGTGGTGGCCCGTCAAGGGCGAGGTCTCCTCCATGGGAGCCCGATGGAGTGACCACACCGCGTGGTGAGTCGGTGGGTGCCGGCCTTCCGCCGCCCTTCCGCCGCCCGGGGTGCCGTTGCCTTTCCGCCGCCCTGCCGCCGCCCTTCCGCCAGCGGAGGCGGCCTCGTTTGACTTCCGGCGCCTTCCGCCGAGGAAGAGATGTGGCAACTCCGTCGGTCCTCGAAGGCAAGGCCCTTTTCCCGGAAAGGGCTCGGGCCCAGGGTTTTCTTTTCCCGGAAAGGGCATAGGCCCAGGTTTCTCTTTTAGTATGTAAACATGTCCCCGGTGCCCAACTTGAAGGAGGCCGGCGAAATTTTTCCCTGATAAATATCGAGGTCGAAGGAGGCCGGCGAATTAAAATTTGAGGATGTCTCAGGCGAAACGCTTGTTTTTGAAATCCCGATCGATAAATCACAGGGTGCGGGACACCTCAGCACGACCACACCCCCAGCATGACCACACCCCAGCACGACCACGCCCAGCACGACCACGCCCCAGCACGACCACACCCCCAGCACGACCACACCCCAGCACGACCACACCCCAGCACGACCACACCCCAGCACGACCACACCCCACCACGACCACACCCCAGCACGACCCGATCGATGAATCACAGGGTGCGGACCACCCCAGCACGACCACACCCCAGCACGACCCCACCCCAGCACGACCCCACCCCAGCACGACCACGCCCCAGCACGACCACACCCCAGCACGACCACACCCCAGCACGACCCCACCCCAGCACGACCCCACCCTAGCACGACCACACCCCCGCACGATCACACCCCAGAACGACCACACCCCAGCACGACCCCACCCCAGCACGACCCCACCCCAGCACGACCATACCCCAGCACGACCACACCCCCGCACGACCCGACCCCAGCACGACCCTACCCCAGCAAGACCACACCCCAGCACGACCACACCCCAGCACGACCTCACCACAGCACGACCACACCCCAGCACGACCACGCCCCAGCACGACCACGCCCCAGCACGACCACGCCCCAGCACGACCACGCCCCAGCACAACCACCCCCCAGCACGACCACCCCCCCAGCACGACCACGCCCCAGCACGACCACCCCCCAGCACGACCACTCCCCAGCACGACCACTCCCCAGCACGACCACACCGCCTTGGTTGAGTGGGTGCCTGTCGTCGTGGAATGTTTCGTGGGGTGTCTCGTGGAATGTTTCGCGGGGTGTCTCCTGGAATGTTTCGTGAGGTGTCTCGCGGAATGTTTCGTGAGGTGTCTCGTGGGATGTTTCGTGAGGTGTCTCGTGGGATGTTTCGTGAGGTGTTGCCCCGTTTGGTATCGTGAAAACGTGCCCATGCTCCACATGTCTATATCCCTTTCCGGGTTCGTGGGTCCATCATGTTTGATATGTAAACTTGTCCCTGGCGTCAAGTTCGAAGAGGGCCGGCGCACTCTTTCCGGGATCAATAAGTTAGGTCGAAGAGGGCCAGCGGATTAAAGTTTGAGGGTGTCCCGAGCGAAACGCTGGTTTTTGAAACTCCGATCAATAAAAGACATGGTACAATAAACATTGCCGTTCGTTGCGGGTGTGTCGAGCGAAACGCTTGTTGTTCAAAACATGTTGACGATGCCTCGAGCGAAACGCTTGTCTTGCGTCATAGGTTGTTCCTTTCCTGGGGACCGGAGTTCAGAGGATGTCTCAGGTGAAATGCTTGTTGTGACGTGCCCAGGTCTTGAGGATGTCTCGAGCGAGACGTTCTGTTTCACGCGCCCAGGTCGCCTGATTAGGCAGATGTCTAACATGAAGATGTGTTGAGGATGTGTCTTGCGAAACGCTTGCGTTCACGTGTCCAGGTCGCCCAGGCGAATTCATAACATGAGGTGTTGATAACGTCTCGCGAAACGCTTGGTTTCACGTGCCCAGCTCGCTCAGGCGGATAGCTAGCATGAAGATGTGTTGAGAATGTGTCGAGCGAACCGCTTATTTTGACGTTTCCAGGTCGCCCAGGCGAATCTCTAGCATGAGGAGGTGTTGATAACGGCTCGAGCGAAACGCTTGTTTTCACGTGCCCAGTTCGCCCAAGCGGATGTCTAACATGAGGATTTGGGCAGGTTGTCTCGAGCGAACCGCTTATTTTGACGTTTCCAGGTCGCCCAGGCGGATGTCTAGCATGAAGATGTGTTGATGAGGTGTTGAGCGAAACGCTTACTTTCACGTGTCCACTTGCCCAGGCGGATGTCTAATTTGAGGATGTGGGTAGGATGTCTCGAGCGAAACGCTTGTTTTCACGCGTCCAGGTTGCCCAGGCATATGTCTAGCATGAGGAAGTGTTGAGAACGCCTCGAGCGAGACGCTTGGTTTCACGTGTCCAGGTCGCCCAGGCGGATGTTTAACAGGTGGATGTGTTGAGGATGTCTCGAGCAAAACGCCCGCCCGTCCGTGGAGCGTCCCCTGGCGCGCTGGCGCGTCCCCTGGCGCGTCCCGTGCGACGTTCTGGCGTGACGTGCCCTGGCACGTCCCCTGGCACGCCACTCGGCGTGGCACGTTCCCCTGCCTCGTCCTCTGTCGCGTTTCCCGGCTCGCCCCCAGGCGTTGCCCCTGCCCGTTCCAGGGCGCTCCCCTTTGCAACGTCCCCTGGCATGACGTCCTCTGGCCGCCCCATGGCACGCGCCTCTGCACGTCCCGCGGCAGGTCCCTGCCACGTCCAGGGCAGGGCTGGACCTAAACGGTGTTTTGGCGATTTCGTGGGCCGTTTTCGTTTCGACTTCGTTTTGCGGTAGAGATGGATTGAAGACAAAACGAGGGAAAACGAAAACAGAACGAAAACGAAAAACACCGTTTAGGTTCAGCCCTGGTCCAGGGCACGTCTCCTGATACCTCTCCTGACACGCTTCCTGGCGCATCCCCGATTGCGCCCCTGGCACATCCCGCGGCGCGTCCGTGAGCCTGTGCCCAGTGTTGTGTCGTTCCTTCTCGGAGCCGATGCGGATTTTGAGGTTGAGAGTTGATTGATCGTCCAGCACGTTTCCACTACGCCATAGAGCACAATCGCGGCATGGCACATCGCAATTCAGCACGGCGCAGCGCAGCACAGCCTTTGGCACGGTACATCAAGGTCGATACACTCAGCATCGCAATTGCTTGTCGCCCAATCAGGTGTCTTGGAAACGCTGCCATGCCGTACATTTCTATATTTCTTTCCGGCTTCGTGCCTCGATCATTTCTCGGCGAGGACCATCGAGGAGCATCCTGGATCAATTTGCGAAAGAATACGCGCACGAAGAAGGCAACACTGCACAAGGGAGTGGACGTCCCAGCGGTGGCGAGAAATAGACTACGTCTCCGTGCAGGCCCGCCTGAGCGCAGACCTCCCAGTGCTCTGCCGTCTTCTGGTGGGTCTTCGCGCACTGTCCTTCGCACTGCTCCGTACAGTCAACCCGCGTAGTAAGGATGGGCTCCCTTCCCAAGGGTACCCTTGCATCCTTGCCTC